CTTCCCGCGTCCTTGATGAGAGATGACGCACAGTGTGGGTTGTCACAAAGCAGTATGAAGAAATAGCTATCGGCAGATTGCCGGATCATTATTCTGCACAACAGGCAGAACTGGTAGCACTAACTCATGCCTGTGTGCTTGCTAAAGATTTAAAAGCAAACATATTTGTCGATTCAAAGTAAGTCCATGGCACATGCCACGATTTTGGCTTGTTATGGAAGCAGAGACATTTTCTGACAGAAAATGGAACCCCAGTGAAAAATGCTCAGCAGGTGGCAGACTTAATGGAAGTGCTCACCCTTCCAAAACAGGTTGCTATTATTAAAATAAAAGCCCATTCTTCTGCCACGTCTTCTGAACACCAAGGCAACTGTTTAGCTGAAAATGCAGTCACCCTGTGAGCAACCTGTTGTGAAAAATTTGGCTGATCTGCTTGCTTTATACCAGCAGGCCCCAGGTTTGAAAGTTTGGACTTGGGTTGAGCAAGGTGTGTCTCTTCACGATGGAATCTGGGTTAAGGGGGTAAATATGTGGCTCCTGATGCCCTGCTTCCCTATTTGGTGGCTACCATACATAGTCTAGGTCACCCTGGAGTAACCCAGATGGTACATCGCTTCAACCAAGTATGGTAGAATCCTAAATTCCGCAAGTATGCAAAGAGCCATTGTCTAGCTTGCACCACCTGTCTTAAGGCAAATCCAGGACCTGCAGTCTACCTCCCCTACCAAACTGTAACACCACCGAGTGGCCCGTTCCAAGAATTGCAGGTAGATTACATCACTTTGCCAAGATGCCTGGGAAAACAGGACTGTTTGATAATAATTTGCAAGTTCTCAAGGTGGATTGAGGGATATGCCACTACTAAAGGCACTGCCCTACATACCGCTAAATGTCTGGTGAAAGATTTTATGCCAAGGATCAGGTCCTCAAGCATCAGGTCAGGTTGAAAGGATGAACAGAACTTTAAAGTCAAGACTGACCAAGTTACATCATGAAGGGGTTTCATGGGAGAAAGCTTTACATGCTGTACTTTGCAGCATCAGAGCTTCAACTAACAGAAATACCCAGCTGTCACCATATGAGATTATTACTGGTCGTCCTATGTCACTTCCAGGAACTATTGATTTAAACGTGGCAGACATACATATTATGTCTGATAGTCTGCTGCAATACTGCCAGACATTATCTGAGGCTGTTGCCGCCGCTCAGAAATAAGTGTTGGATGCATGGAAAGAACCTACTAAGGGGGGTCACCCTATCGTTTCAGGTATGTGGGTAATGGTTAAGGTGCATAACACTCAGCCATTAGGGCCAAAGTGGGAAGGTCCATATCAGGTCCTCCTTACTACACCCTCTGCTCTAAAATGTCAAGGAAAACCAAAATGGATACATGTGATACCTGATGGTGATGGCTAGTTCAGGGATAAAATGGGTGACTCTGGTTGGGAGATGCTCTGAGGAAGAACTATGGTATTTAGATCATGGGGGTTACCCTCAGAGTGAAGATTTTCCTAATTCCCCTTTGTGGCTAGCTCTCCCTTACTCCCACCAGAGGCCAGGACCCATGTTAGGTAGGGAAAGAAGGTATCCATTACAAGGGCTAAACCAAACCTTTATATAAGGGCATACGACACTGGTTGTGTACTAAAAATATGATGCTGCCGCTGTGTCTGTGTGTTTTGTTTCCAGGATATACCCAGAGCAGACTGGACACTGTGATGAAGGAACAGGACATCAGGTTCCCTTAATGGTGGTTGACGAACTGACATCAAAGCCTATCTACACTATATTGCCAAAAGTATTCGCTCGTCTGCCTTCACACACATATGAAATTGAGTGAGATCCCATTCTTAATTCATAGGGTTTAAAATGATGTCGGTCCACCCTTTGCAGCTATAACAGCTTCAGCTCTTCTGGGAAGGCTTTCCACAAGGTTTAGGAGTGTGTTTATGGGAATTTTTGACCATTCTTCTAGAAGTGCATTTGTGAGGTCAGACACTGATGTTGGACGAGAAGGCCTGGCTCGCAGTCTCCGCTCTAATTCATCCCAAAGGTGTTCTATCGGGTTGAGGTCAGGACTCTGTGCAGGCCAGTCAAGTTCTTCCACACCAAACTCACTCATCCATGTCTTTATGGACCTTGTTTTGTGCACTGGTGCATAGTCATGTTGGAACAGGAAGGGGCCATTTGGATGGGTAAGTGAATACACATATCTTGGTAACAGTACATGTTCTGTTTCAATCTCTGCCTTCTCTATGAATGGCACATTTTGGTATAAAACACTGTACCACCACAAATACCAACCCATGCGGTATTTGGATGAGGGAACCACTTCCTTTGGGTTTCTATTGGGTTTGTGGAAACAAGGCTTATCCATCACTTCCATCTGATTCATGGTGCAGTTCCTGTTACATGGCTGTAGTCATGCCTCCTATTACAGGCCATACCGATCCATGGACCACATTACAATCTCATGGACCTTTACATCGTATGAAAAGAGAACTTGGCGTTACCCTAGCAGGTATACAAACATGAAATGGTCACATTATGAAGGACCCCTGGTCTAGTATAGCGCAGACAGTAGGGTGGGGAATATTTCCATTTGGAGGTGTTGTAGATGCCTTACAGAAGATAAACTATTTGGCTTATTCCACACAGAAACTAGCTAATGAGACTAGTGAAGCTCTGCGCTTAGTAAATGATGAACTGTGCATTATGAGAAGCAGTGCTGGAAAATAGGAAGGTTTTAGACTTGCTGACCTTAGAAAAAGGAGGGGTATGTCACATTCTCAATACCTCCTGCTGCATCTACATCCCAGATAACTATGAAAATATTGATAAATATGTAGCAGATCTTCATAGACTCATTCCAAATCCTGCTCCAGAAGGATCTCTTGATAAGATCTTGGGTTGGCAACATTTTTGGAGGTATATTTTCTGGGATCTTACAGCAACTGCTCCATTATGTACTTCCCTTTGTATCACCAGCAATAGTTGCTATTGTCATCTACTTTTGCCTCAAATTACTCTGGTGCTTAATGACTAAACTCCACCAGCATAGGCGTTCCTTATAACCATGGTAACACTTCATTTCCCCAATTTGCCGGTATGCGGACTGAAGCAAAAGAGACCTGTCTTTAGGACGTGAAGAAAGAGGGAAATACTGGCCATATTTCTCTGGAAGAGGAAAGGATAGATTGATTAAGCTTGCGATTTTATAGTATGTTTTAAGGGGGGAATGAAGGAATTTATTGTTGTGAAATGTGCTGTGTTATACATTCTGTATTGTGTGTGAATGTGCTGAAGTTGTACATTAGGCTGCCTATTTTGTGTTTACCCCTACATGGTCATGTTTGTCACACCTGTTACTTGTCCTTTATAAGCTGGGTCTAATCTCGGCACCAGGCCAGCTATAAAACTGTGTCAGTCCAATGTCTTACGGGCTGGCTGGGTGTCTGGTACCTGTGTGCACATTGAATAAACTTCACTTGTCCAGACAACAGACTGGGTCCCCTGGTATTGAGAGGGTTTGGATTCATCAGTAAAAACCTGAAATGTTTGACTTTGCCTTTACTTAGTCTAAACTTTTGTTGGCTATCACACCTTTGGTTGTGTAAGTTTGATTGTTGTTTATACTTAAGCTCACTTTTTGGTGGTCTTTTTATATATTTGCTGAAAGCCCAAAGATCATGGCCAGCAAATATTGTTTTTTTGGTCTTGTCCCTTGCATACAGAGATTTCTCCAGATTCTCTGAATCTTTTACTGATATTATGTACCATAGATGATGAAGTCTCCAAGTTCTTTGCTATTTTGTGTTGAGAAACATTATTCTTGAATTGTTGCACTATTTGATCGTGTGTGATGAACCCCTTTTCATCTTTACTTCTGAAAGAGTCAGCCTCTCTGGGATCTTTTTTTCCAGTCATGTTACTGACCTGTTGCCAATTAACAACCAGGTTTTTTTTTAGCATTACACAAATTTACCAGCCTTTTGTTGCCCCATCCCAACTTTTTTGGAATGTGTTGTTATCAAATTTTTCAAAAAACAATAGAATTTTCAACATTTGATATGTTATGTTTGTACTATTTTCAATGAAATGTAGAATTTAAATGATTTGCACATCGTTGCGTTTTGTTCTTATTGACATTTTGCAGTGTCCCAACTTTTTTGGAAATGGAGGTTTTTGTTATTGTAAGTTTTTTTTTTGGGGGATAAAAGTAACAGTCAAAAACAGGACAAAATTGCTTTTGCCAGATTTATTCAAATAATTTGTCAGACAAAAACAGTTTTTGTGATGCTGATAAAAACAATAAGTCATTCAAGGAAATCATTGGTTAAATACACAAAAAATTATAAACTGATTACAATAAAAGGAAAAAAAAAGTAAGTGAAATGAATAGTTTCAAAAAGGCCTGAGCATTGCTGGCTCTCAGTAGCTTGGCTGGACTCAAAACAAGCTGATAACATCTTTCTTGCCAAGCTACTGTTGATCTCCTGAGTGTCAAGCTGTTATTGACTCTTGTCATGAGCTAACCTGCTGTTCACTGCCTACATCTAGAGTTAACCCCCTTTAGGCTAATTTTTCACCATCGCACGATGGTCTCAGCCACCAATTACATGTTTGTAAAACATTCTTTGTGCATAAAGCTACAGATTTGAACTTGGGTAATATGTGCTGTTCTTTTTAGCACAACTTAAGCTACCTTTTGTGACACAGCGACCTGTAAATTACAGCACACAATCACCAGGAAGGGTACAAACTCTAGAATTAGGAGCCCAAGCTCTTTCAAGAATGAAGGTCACAAACCAGTAAAGACACTATGTAGTTTGTTCTGTTTTATCCTGAGACCGCATACCCAGTAAATACATAGGTCTATGAATCACACATGATTAAATGAGATCATACCATAGAGAAAATATATTTACAGCAAAATCACAAATGACAATGACAAAAACAGCAAAACAATTAATAATGAAGTAATAGTGAAATAATGTGTAGACAGGACATAATCTCTTTCAGTATAACTTACAACACTTAATAAAGTGTCTTAAGAGTAGGTTTTGACGAAATACTGATTTGACCACCTTTTCCAATATATACAAGGCACATGTGAAAAATCTTTGGGCTGTGTAGTCCCTGCTTTACTATAGCTATTAGTTACTTTGTGCTTGTTGTGGCTATTACTGCAGAAATGTTACAGCTGTTTATTTCCATGGAAGTTCTTAGCAGGAAATCACCTAAAGTGGCTGCCCCCACTAGCATAAGCGGTCAGCAATTACCGCCTCCTTTTAGTCAATCTATTTTCACACACATTTGGAATTAGAATAACTTCCTTATTCTGTTTGTTATTGCTGCTGTCATTGTCTACTGTTGATTAAACTCAAGCATTAATTTAAGAATCACTTGTTTGCTTAAAATACCTACAGTTTCCCTTTAAAAGGTACTTCTTCATTCATTGATTAATATTGTGAAAATGTCACATTGCTGTGAAGGTGATTACCTTTAAAGAATGACCTACTTTAGAAAGAAGAATCCAAGAGCATAAACATCTGCCCCACTTCTCACTTTAATCCCACGAAATATCCCTAAACCCACATCAATGGACACAGGCGGGCCCACGTCTGGGATTTTAGCAGAGAATGTAAGAGTCCCCCCAGTTTTCCTCACAACTTCAAACTGAAGACCTCCCAGACGATTCCTAGTTTGGTTTGGCCACAGTGTCAGTGAACGGAAACGATCACCGTCCTCAAATATGAATGCCTGGGACAGGGCACCTTTCGCACTGCCATACGTCTTCTCTTGATTATTGCTGAATGTCATGCATAGAGCGTCCATCTGGAGATGAGAATCATTTCTCATTATTTTCATGTCATCACATTGTGGTTAAGTTCCTATTCACAAGGGGAATCAGTTAAACCAATGGGCTCAGTGAAATAGTCAGTGTTATTTACACACATAGGAGCTTGTGCATTTGTGGGTGTGATGTTAATTGTACAATTACAATAAATTTTATTGACACCTTAACAGATTCTGTGTCAACTGGGAAAAAAAATATAAATGTAATCAGACAAAGAATAAAATATGTAATAGAAAAAAGAATCTCACTGACCGTATGATCGCCCAGCGTAATGCTGATCTTCTTCAACGTCACATCGATATCTTGAGTCAAAATATCTTCTTGTCCTTCAACACCACCCACCAAAGCACCTGACAATTTTGAAAACTGTTTAACACACTTTCTGTGCAACAAGTACATACTGACAAATCTAGTTTATTCAACAGTAGATAACAGTACTATAACCTCTCCTTTAAACAAATAGCAAAAAATGCAAAAGTTACTAATAACTACCAAAAGCACAATTGCAAGCCTATTTTGTACATTTCACGGCTGTTAGGAAAACAGACAACTTTTTACCTGAACAGCTTTTTCAATATTAGGCACAAGAAAATAAATATTGTTCCTTACAGGGACGCATAAACTCGCTGTCAGGAGTGTTTAACTGCAGCTAACAGAAAATGAGAGAATGGAACATTTAAATATTTTGGCTTTTTTGTAGAATAAAGTTCGTATTTTTATTTTATATGTTCAAAATCTGCAGTAGCCACACACTGTTTAACACTGGATTTTAGAGTAAACTGAAATGTTGCCATTGCCACCTGCTGGCCACTTTGGTGGTCATGACAATAAAAACAAGCAGGATTTGTGGGCTAGTTCTGTAACCTAATGCATCCTAATATTTATATTAAAAAATATAAAAATAAAGAGACACAAAAATATTTTCAGCTAACAGTTATCATCCTCTCTCATTCATTTTTTCAACCACTGTAATAACCTCATACTAGATGTTCATGTGTAGCTTGACTATGAGCATGAGAAAAGCGTGTTCCACAAATAAGCAACCTGACTGGCCTACATTAATCTTATTTCCAAAAGTCCTGCAAGAGAGAGCAGAGACAGCAGAGTGTGCATCAGCGGATGCTGTGTTGGATACATGTGCATATCTCTCACTACAATAATACACTGTCATCTAAAAAATAAAAAAAGTTATTTAGCATGCTGCCACAGTATACGTCATCTATGTGATTCCAAAATCCCCCCCGACCTGAAACACCTTCCCATGCCCCAGATTTCTTAAGAATCGCCATATGGTGATACAGATTTGTTGTGACAGTAACCATCATTTCAACAAATTTTACAAACACTAGGACTGTGAAAAGTCTAGCCTAATTTGAAGTTTTTTCTGTTTCTGTTAAGCAGCAGTTTAGGTGAGTGTATAAGATGCTTTTGTCTGGTAATAACATCACCTTGGTGTTGGCTTGTTTATTATAGTTCGATATTTTATAGCAGTCCTTATGGAAACTACGATTACAAAACTATGAAATTATGAGAATACTATTAATCGTGCAGCCATATGGAGCTAATTTTATGCTAAAAGTTTCAAATTAAATAAACTGAGAGCAAAATACTGAGTTAAACTTAATTTCAAAAAGACTACTACTCATTTTGTTTCATTCCGATATACATTTTTTACTCTTTTTGCCAGTTTTTGCTTTAATAATTTTTCCTATTTGCTGATTTTGCTGATAAATTGTTAGAATCGCTTTTTTGCTTCTGAAATCTTTTTTTTGCTTCTGCCTTTTCGCACTTTTAACAGGAGGCAGGTCTCAGAAGAGGGCGTTCACTTTCACTTTCTATTGTTTTGCAGCTGTTTAAATCAAAGTTTATTAGCCCAGCTTCTGGCGACCTACATCTCCACACAGTTTCAATTCCTTACCTTAAAACACCTGATCCGGCTCAGCAACTGATTATCAAGCTCTTCATGAGCTGAACCAGGTGTGTTGGGTCAGGAAATTGTTGAATCTGTGATGTTGTGGGTTGAGGAAAATAACGTAGCACTGACAAACACAGTAAAGGGTGGAAAATACCACTGATTACTGCCAGCTATGTTTAATTACTACAAAAGGGAATAAAGTTGACTTGTCATGGTTGGCCATTCCGTTCTGGGAGTTAAAGGCAATTATGTGAGTGTTTTCTTGTTTTACCCAGAGAATCCTGTGCCAGTCACAAACAGGCGTTCAATCTCTGCACTCCAGTTCACAGAATGCTGCTGCTTCAAATCACTGTTTTCACATTAATACAGTGAACTAACTTTAGACATTTAAGCAGTTTAGTTTCATTACCAGTATGGCTTGCCTCTCTAGAGGACACTGCTAAGCTTAGCAGCAAACTCGAAAGGTGGCACAGCTTCGTTCATAAACAATTTGTAAGGTGGTGGCTTGCCAGAGGTGGGATTAGAGCCAAGGCCGTCTGGGGCCAACCGGGTGAGCCACCACAGGGCTTTGGAAGGCAGGACCCAAACGCTAAGCTTCTATGCGATTGGAGGGTATTATTGAAATAACATATTAAACTGTGGATACCAGGGCTCGAACCCACGCTGGCGAGTTGATAACCCGGCGCTCTACCACTGCACTATAGAGGCCATGTCACGTGGTGCAGGAAGGGTTTACCTTAAAAAGGAAAACGGGTGGAACACAAAAGGCAGTATGAAAGCCCACCTACAAAGGCTTAGGTGGGAACAGAACAAAGGACCAGGGGAAAGACTAGCTCTCTCAAACACTGAGGAAATGCTACCTGAAAAACCACTTTCCCAACAGAAAAGAATGCACGAAGGAGAACGAAAAGGAGAAAGGGACAAACTTGTCCCTTCTCTAGCTTTACATTTAGTTCTGTTCTTTTAAAGGAAGAAAGACGCAACTCGAGAAAGAGGATAGGCTCGAGAAAAGAAATTCTCTAGAGCGTCTACCCGAGATTAAAAGCCGGTCTGCTTACCGGAATTCTGAAACAAAGACTCAGCAAAGTATGTCTTGTTCCCAGCCCTTATAAAGCCTCCTGAGCAGGTGTGGCTCATTTGGGTCGTTGACTCCCCCTGGTGGCCGGCGGTGGCCTAGCCCTTGAGCCAACCCTTACACAGTTATGTTCGTCAATGCCCAAAACAGCAGTTACATCGTTTTGCACATATTGACACAGGATCCATAAACCTGTGTTACATTAATAATTTAAAAGGAATATGACAAACATTGCTCATAATGTCAGATATGCCAGTACAAGACTGCACTTACAGCAGCACTCAGTACAGTGTGTTCTGCCATGTTGGGGTGGTTCACGCTGAGCAGCTACGTGTTCAGAAGACCTGTCACCCCAAATCAGTTAACCAATAGAAAGTGCTGGTAAATCCGACTTCGCAAGTGGCACCCAACTGGCAAAATGAGTAATAATATCAGACTGAGAGAAAATGAGTAGTAATCTTTTTTGAAAAACTTATTAATTTAACCCGTTATTTGTATTTACAACATATTTTGGACATTTTGATACAAATATAATTGATATGAACTTTTTGCTTGTGTAACTTAATATTTTTATTAGAAACTTCTGGCACAAAATTAACTCCATACAGCCCTACTTACAGCATGAGCAACACAGTTACAGTAGCAAAACTTTCATCAGATCCCTGTTAGAAAGCTTTTTCTATGTATCTGGAGGGACTGATATATCTCAAAACTTTCAGTTTCATAAAAAATTAAATGTGTTACAGCATGTAATGAAGACTGTGTACTGCTGAAGCCTGGGAAGAGCAGAGACCATTTACTCACTTTCAATGGTGATGGCAGTAGGAACAGATTCACTGGCTTCACTCACTCCTGCCGCACTGACAGCTTTATACCGAACTAAGTATTGGTTCCCTGGCTGCAGTCCAGTCAGTACGAAAGGTTTCTCTGCATCCGGAGTGTCTCTGGTCTCCCAGTCTTCCCCCGGGTTAGATTCACCTTCCTTTACCATCCTGTATTCTACTCTGAACCGCAGTGTTTCTCCAGTTGGGGATTTTTGAAGCTTCAGGGTTACAGTCATGTCTTGGGTCTCAACTGTTGGTGGAGGAGGCTTGGACACAGGCTGGAACTTTGGATCTGTCAGTTTGCCTTTTTCATAAAGCTGGATGGAGGAACCTGGATTGGCAGGGTCAGAGATGGAGGCAATGACGAATTGGATTCTCTCCTTATTTTTGTTGGCATTTGAGAAACTTGTAAAGAGAGAAAGGTTCTGTCTCATGGTCTTGGAAATTTCAGTGGAAGTGAACCAAGGCTGTGCTACTTGGAGAGAATATGCTTCTGTGTTTGCTTGCTCTAGATTTACAAGCGCTTCAGAATCTTTCAGTGCGTCCAGGTATGTGTCTTTGTACTTCAGAGATGTGAAAGACAAACATACCACTACATCTACATCAGGATTAAAGAGAATGGCCTTGAGTTTTCTTGAGGATGTCACAACTCTGATGTCCTTCAGCCCACTGATATAGGAACTCAGTATGTTCAATTCAGTCGTAAAGTCGTCTAACCACTGGTTCAAGTTGTTTGCAGCAAAGGGTGACCTGTATTGAGCGTTTAGGATGTTAGCCAGTGCCAGCTCTTCCTGTGTTCCATTACGAATAGCTGGTAAAACTTTGGAGAGAGCCTGCTGGAATGCAATCTTGTGAGCACTAAACGAGCCTTGAAACATTTGCAGTCTGCTTTTCAGGTCAAGGAAATCATCCACGCTTCTGTTTGTGACCAAATCGTTGCACCTCCTTTCTACTTTTCCTAGTTCCTCCAGCAAATTTTCTATTTTAGACACCACATATTCACTGATTTCTCTGACCAAACTGGCTGCCTTATCATTCAACAGTTTGAGGGGATACAGCCACACTCTTACTGGTACAGCATCCTTCTCCTCTCTCAGCAGATTAGGCAGCTTATTATACACTTTCAGGGCCTCAGAGTATGTTGTGGGGTTTTCTTCTAGCTTATAGTCACCATGAAATGTGACACTGATATTCTCAGCCATCTTCTTTTCACTCTCATTCAACTTTAGGTCTCCATCTCCCTCTATCGACAGGGAAGGCATCTTCTTGATCAGAACATGAAGATTTCCTTTAACTTCCTGTTTGTCCTCATCATGTGCAGCTGTATGATCAAACACCATGAAGGCCTGAGCTCCATACAGTACAGCTGTGATGACATGAGTGGCTGTTTGCTGATCAAACACTTCTGGATAGGTGATTTTGCTAAACTCAGCCATAGTGAGTTGTTCAAACCTTATGGTCTGGCTGTAATGCATGGTGATCCGCTCCTGACGTGCTGAAGATTTGCTATCATGTAGGTACTTGGCAGATCCGGCAACCTCCACCAACCCACCCATAAAGCTGGCTTTAAGCGAGGCACTTACATCCAGAAGGTTGGCCTTGTCACTGAGAGAGTCAGAAGCAGAGAATTTCAGATGTGTTTTAGGCTGTTGATGAACATCTAGGTTCTCACGTAATGCTTTCTCATCCCACAAAGTGATGCCTAAAATGAGAGGATGATTAGAAGTGATGAGTGTATCAGAAATAGTGATTTGATAGTCACAGGTAGTCATAATAATAGTATGATATCACACTGAGTGCTTTAACATGCACACAAATAATATGAACATTATCAGATTTTGTCAGTTAACGGATTATTTAAGTGTTCACGTAAACAGCGTGCTCTGATTTTATAGATCAGATTAAGGCTGTTATTGGATTTCAAGAAATCCATTAAAGAGACTTGTATTTTTCATGTATACCCTTACTGTGATTTCTTAGTCTGAGCACGTGCACAAACAGAAGGTAGAGATGTCCCAAAATATCAAGCAGCATGCAATAGCAAGATGGCAATAAAACACTTAGAGCAAAGCTGAAACCCACTATATACTTGATGAAGTGAACAATTTGAATATTTTTCATTCTACATGATGCATATCGATATTTGCCAGTAAAGTGACTCAAAGTACAAAATTAAAAAAAAAGCTGCAGCATGCATTTTGAATTTTACATCATGTCCTCACGTGAATTTATTGGCAGGCTCCAAAGCAGTAATCTGATTACTGCCCAACTCATGTAGACCTGGAGTTTTCCCATTATTTGACTTCCCAAGTGCACGCAAATGCATCGAACAGATTAAACAAAATCTGATTTTCTGCAGTTCTCAAATTATTATGTGCATATTAGCACACTCATTGTATTCTTCTCCCTGAAAAATCTTACATTTTTTTGTGGATGGAATCAGATTTTGACAGTTTTTCTGTACATGCTGTGCAGAAATGTAAACATGTTTGAGACCTGTTTAAAAGATTTGTTTGCACAGATTTTATCTTAAAATAGTCCAATGAAAATCACATTTAGGTTCTGATTTAGAAAATGATAATTTGACACAAAGGTGTATGTAGATTGATGCATGTTTCCAGCCTGACATAAAAACTTTTAGCAGTCAAGGGGGCAAAACTATCACCCTCCACTGAACAGCTGATAAATTACTATAAGGATAACTGACTAAACTGGTTTGCATTAGGCTAATTTATTCTACTAGACTTACCTCATAGGGAATCTAGTCAACATCATTAAAAAGATGCATGGACCATAATTAGAAAACATGATAAATGATTAGATGACTAATATTTGATATATTTACCAACAGATACGTCTCATACTGCGGCACTGCAGAAGGGAAACACTACGACATGGATAGTCTCAAGCGTGTTTAATATGCCAATGTTAATTAATGGATCCAAGTTAAATAACCTTTTTTTAAGTGGTAATTTGCAGTTTTGTTCCAGTGATAGAGTTCTGTATTCTTGCTGGAATGTTGTAAGCTAGACATTTAAAATCAAGTCTGGATGAAAAGCTTTATATTCTTCAAAGAAAATGAAACAGAGGACTGAGCACACAGTTATATCTGAAAGGCAGATTTACTTTGGAACTGAAATATGTTTTCTAAGTAAGGCCCTCCTGTATAGGTCTGACCAGACTGTACATCTACGAGCTGGTCCCTTGAGCACGAGGTCTGCAGGACTGCCTCTGCCAAGAACCACAGCAAACAGGCATTTAGCATATGTTGCTTATTTCATGATGAGCCAGTGTCATCAACAGTGTTACTATTCACTCATATTTGATGTAGGATAAAATCCTTTTTAGTTCAATTAGTCAATCAGTCATGACTAAATGTTTTAGTCAGTTTTACAGCATAACTGCTTTTACGAACCATAGAAGTAGATTGGGGGGGCTGATTATGATGAACTGATTTCCTCATTATGCATAGAGCAAAGCTTTTACATTTAAAGGTGTACTTATGTGTCTGTGTGACACCTTTTAAAACTACATTACCTGGTTCTAAAACAGTTTTAGATCAGAGATTTCTGTGTGTACACATAGCAATGCCTTTTTTGTATCAAAGGTAAAGTGTGAGTGGCCATCTAAAAATAGCCATGTGCGTTGCCTGGTGTTACTTTGCTCCAGCTGCCACTATGATGCGTCTACATGAGAAAGTAAAGGTGAGCGCTCAGTGGAGGCATTTATTTGGAAAACAAAACACGGGTAGGTACAACTTCCAGTTCAAGACAGTACATGCATCCCATACTAACTTGAACCTGAAATGTATTAGTAATCAGAGGAGGGCCAGCAAATCGGACAACTTTCCCATTTCATGCTATGTTGGGTTGGGTGGCACTGGGGCTTTTTTTATCCTTTAAGGCTTGTGTTGAGGTGCCTGTTCAAAATAGAGCTTTGGCCTAAAAAAAAAATCATTATGCTGTGTTTGAATATGCTCCAGTCACCAGCTTCACTGGCCTCAGCATTTGCCTTGGTGAAGCATCTGGTTGGTAGTGAGGTTAGCTTTTACCAGCTTTGAACCTTTGAATCTGAGGTCAGTAATGAAAACACAATGAATAGCAACAATGGCTAATTATAGCTATGAAAACATGTAAAGTCTTATAATGGCACTGGGAAAGTTTGGGTTAGCTAATGTTAACTATGTGCAAGTCAGCAAAAAAAAAAAAGAAAAACAACCTGAAAAGTCTGGTAACAGTAGTACACCACCATTATAAGTGTTTTCAGTGGTAAAGTATGTAAAATTCCAAAGTGTGTGTGTCTTAAGTGAATACCGTACATTGTTAGCATTGGCATTAGTTTGGGAATTCACACCAACTTCATCACATAGAATTCTGTTCTGAGTTGTACATGTGAGGCAGGACATTAATGTTAAATATCAGCCTGGTTTTTAGCAACAGAGAACAATGAGGCTGAAGTCAGCTTCCTATTCTCCAGCTTCTTGTTTGAATGCCCGTTACACCTTAAATAGTGTAGCAGCTACATTCTGGCACTAATAACAGCCGCACCATTTAAGGTGGAACAGGAAAAGTCAAACAAGAAGCTGGAGAATAGAAAGCTAACTTAAGCTTCGTCGGAGAACGCAAGTAAACGCTTCTTCCAGTGTCCATACTGTTCAATACGTTTCTCAGATCAATAAGCAGAAATAACATAATATGCTTAGTTTGTCATTAACCTCTCCAGAATTGTTTTCAAGCAGCGATGCAGCTCTGTGACTTCAGTGGCAGATTCACAGTAGCAAATGTGATCACCCCCCCCACCACCCACCCCATGTCAAACTCACTCCCACGCCCTTGGCAAGGGGTGGTTGCTATGCACTATTCCTGTAGCCAACACTGAACTTGGATTAATAGTTCTATGCACTAAAGATCATGGAAGTTCTACCTGCAATGAAGGTATCAGTGTGGCAGTTGTACAGCATGCCAGGATACAGAGGTCTTCCCAGGGCTGCTATTTCAATAGGTCTGACATCCTTACCTGCTGCATAAACAAAATGCGGGTAAATTTAGTTTTTTCCATGTGGAAAATTCTTAGTGACGTAGGTCTGCATTCTGTTCAAATGTGGTAAGCTAGACATTTAAAAATGAGTTGGAATGAAAAGCTTTACATTACTCACACAAGATGAATGACAGATTGCATCCATAAACAAATTAATTAAAACCCTGCAATGTTGAACAGTCTGTACATATGCACCCATTTCTACAACCGTTTGTGATTTATATATGATTCACATTCAAGCGTATACTAATTTTTATAAATCATTCACAAACAAAATCTGAGAACAAATTTAGTATGGAACAAAAATTTGTTTTCTAAACAAGGCAGTGCGACTCAAGGTCTGACTAGATTGTGCATGTATCAACTGGTCCATTGAGTGTGAATACTGTCTCTAGCAAGAACCACAGCAAACAGATGTGCCAAAAGCACCAGAGCTGTCTGTTACTTATTTCATGACGAGACAGTGTCATCAGTGTTAATTTTCCACTCATTTTGTGTTAGGATAAAATCCATGTTAGTCCAATTTTAGCCATATCATATTCTGTATTTTTAAACAAAAAAACAATTTTAGTCACCCAGCATTAGTCACCAATGTTTAGAAAGCAATGACAACATTATGTTAAGATTGTTCATAACAGGATTGCATGTATGCAAATACATATAATCCTGCATATAAAAAGTTCAGGAAATATGGATATAACCTGGTTTACACAGTAGTATTTTAATATTGTTAATACTGTCCATCCTAAAATCAACAACCTTCATCACCTGCTTTTAATTTGCTGCAGCTGCTACCACGACATGTCTCCATGAGACAGTAAGGGTGAGCTTTCACTGGAGGCATTTATTGAGAAACTAGTTATGTCCCCCAGTACAATACAGATGCATTCTATACCAACTTGAAGGAAGGGCAGCAAGTACTGTGCTTTCAACATGTGGCCAAAATTGCTAAAGATTGTTATTCCATAAAACAGGCTATGGATTAGAAACAGATCAGACCTGCTCCTTTAGTCCCGTCAGTCTCCTTTAGCTCCTTTCTCTCCATCTCCTCACCTGTGTTCAGTATTAGATTTTTTTTTTATTAAAATCAGATTAAAAAACCTCAAGGGTTAATGAGACATCAGTCTGTTCATTTTTTTAACTGGAAAAATCTTCTCACCTGACTGCCCTCCAGTGGAGATGTCAGTCTCGAGTGTCTTGTAAAACATCTTGTGTTTCTGCAATATTAAACTATTATGATTAACATTATGTGACATTTTCACTGAAATTATCTTATTACAAACAAAGTATGTGAATACTACTGATGTGATTGTTTCAAATACTGAAGAGTAATATGAAAACAACAGAAAGAGCTGTCAGTAATGCAATAATATACTCACTACCTGTGAAGTTTCTTAAAATTCATGTTTACACTTTAATAGGTTGCTAACATAATATTGATAGCACTTTTCTTTATCTCATGTAACTTAAAATTAAAATAGCTATCTAAGAAGCAACTGGTAAAAACTTGATAGCCAGTTATATTGTAGCATGTTGCATCCTCTAGCCTTTATTGGTTCAGTATGTTAAGTACTAAGAGAGAGAGGGGAGACGTGAGCTAGCTACTTAGCAAAAGAACTGTTAGTGATGAGAAAACTCTGCTTATGTATGGTGTAGCTGTGGTCAACAACAGCAGGTTAATAAAGCACCATGACTTGTGCGAAAGCTGTGTCTTTTTTACTAACAGTACACTACAATATTAACCAAATGTGTGCTGTAGGTAGGTATTTTGCTGTAGGTAGGTATTTTAAATAAATCCTAATAATTGTGTCAGTAAGCTTTTAGTCTAAATCCTGTCACACCTTTAGTGGTTGCGGACCTACAAAGAAATAACCACCAGAGCCCTTCCCCCAAATGTGATACACATAACGGCACAGTTAAATAATCAATGAATGAATAAGAAAAAAACTGCTGATGGTTTGAATTAATGATGTACATTTATTTGGTTGGGCTGAATAAATTAAAAAAATAATAAAAAAAACTATTTAGCAGAGCTTTGTTCTTTATTATATTCATATTACTATTCTATTACAAGAGGTGCAATATTTTGCATAGGAGTAACTTGATAATATACATCTTGTTTTGGAGCAATACCTTCAACTATTCAAAAGCTATTGAAATAATTTTTTGAAAAACCTGTCCCTGAAATTCAGCAGAAGATTTCATTAAAAGAGGTGTAGTATGTTGTATGTGTGTCACTGGATTATATATGTCTTGTCATGAAGCATTCTGTCTGACTAATACAAAGCTTTTAAAATTATATAAAAAAAAAAAAAACTACAACAAAAATCCAGTATGTCAACCAATCAACTTATGTCCTGTAAAAACTAATAAATATTTAGCAAGAGTTAGCCATAATATAGGGGGGTGTGCTGTATAGGAGGCACTTGAGAATATATATACAAATGATAGCAAATTGTCATTTTTTGTCTTACCATTTTTTGCAATTATCAAAAGCGTAAAACACTACTTTTTAAAAATTAGCCTCATACCTTTCATCCAATCAGTGGTCTGCTTATCTAAAAATCATTTTATCAGTAAATGCTACTATCATTAAAATTATAATTAGGAGATTTTGGTAGTCTAAATCACCTTATCAGAGGGTACACATTAAGCTGAGTCTTTATAATAGACTTGAAAAAAGGCTGAATTAACATTAAAACACAAAAGCTTAAAACATCGAAGTTATTATACTATTCTAATGACATGCTCATGCGCAGTAGGATCACTCAGTAAGTAGGACAATGGAAATTTCTGTCCTCTATTACTGTCTAGTACTGAAATCTAAATGTATTAGTAGATCTTACCTTGAATTCCATTCTGATTACAATTTTCAGCAAATAAAATTTGCAAATTTGTCAAAATATCCACTTCTTAAGGTATTTCTGTATGAAGCTTCCAAATTGTAACCACTGTGCACCGGAAAAAAAAAAACTTAGCCCGAAATGTGAAGAAAATAAAAGCACTCGTTGGTTGCTGTGTATCTAGTGCTCCACAAGACAGAAGAGGAGGAACTGGGGTCTATATAAACAGTGAGAAGTGCTGCCATCAGCATCCTGCAGTGATATCACCCACTGTAAACATGCTCAGAAGTATGTGTCTGCATGACAAAGCAGAACAATTTTATCAACTATCAAGTCTGCTTTTCAGGTAATGTAAACTTTAATAAAGGAAAACCTAGGAGTTTGCTTTCTTTTAAGTAAATAAAAACAAAATTAGCCAGTTACATGAGAGCCCTGATATAGTTGTGTATATTAGCCTAAACCCATACTTAAGTCACTTCAGAGAAATGACTCAAGGAAAAGTAAAAGTGCCTTTACCAAAAAACAAACAAACAAAAACTTGAGTATAAGTACAAAGTATCAGGTCTAAAAAGACTTGAGTACTGTTTAACATATAGAACTGTTGTCTAACTCCTTAATTCATCCAACATCTATCAGTGGAACTGAAGCCTGTCAGGCTCTATTCTTCTCTTTATCACAAAGCAGTATATATGCTGTCACCAACATATCTTTTTCACACAAATATACTTTTGAAGTAAAAATGGCCATTACCTTGTGAGCCACATCTGCCTCTGGGATCTGGGATCGGGCTCAAAGAAGCACTCAAAATGAAATATGAAAGATAATCAGGAAAAAAAAAACAAACAACCAAACAAAAAATTCCTCTCTAGATATAAGAGAAAGATCTGATTTGTGTTTAGCTCTGCTTTTCCCCTTGTTTAGAAGCTGGTTAACCTCTGCTTTTACTTTACAGCTCTCCTTTCCTTTTCTCTTCATTTTAAGAGCTGTTTTTCTTTTTCTCTTCCTATACCAGGTCTGTTTTCTTTATTGTGGAGCATTTACCACCTTTTTTGTTCTTTTTTATGAGTGGTTTTGTTTCAGTGATTCAACAGTGTTTCTCTTTCCAGTCCTCTTTTCTCTGTCCTTTTCGTTCAGAGAACACTCTAGATCAGGGGTGTCCAATCTTAGCCGCAAAGGGCCGGTATGGCTGCAGGTTTTCTGCAGCCACACCAGCCCTGTGGATAAGATTGGACACTCCTGCTGTAAATACTGTACAGGTCACCCCTCTACAAAGGTGTGACACTGATTGCTGTTTGCCACAGCCTTAAATGCAGAGGCCTACATGCACTGTATGTCTGTTTGGCGCTGATTAGCCCAAGGGCTTCTGGGAACTAGTGTTCCTCAGGCTAAAAATGCCTTGCTTCCGTCACCCTCTGCTGGCAGCCATCGGCCCAGCCTTTACAGTGTATCTATCCAAGCCGCTGACAATTATTTTTGACATGTTAAAAGCGACCTGCAATGCAAATCCTCTGATGAGACTGTGGATGTAGATGAGGGGTTTGTGGTGGAATCAAAAATGGTCAGACCAGTTGCATGTGTAGTACGGACTGTGCGCTCCTCCATCAATAAAGATTCCGGCACCCTTTTACCTTCTATAAAACGAGCCATGAAAATAACCTCAGGTTATATTAATCTCATGTGATTTGACATGTCGGTAAAATGCTATCATATCCTGTGGAAAGGGGAGTTCCTTAACCATGGAGGAGGAAGCTGAGGAAGCTTAAGTTGGCTTATTTATTTTCTTGTTTGAATTTTCCCATTTCACCTTCTTGTGGCAGTTTTTATTATAACGCCTAAGGCGCCAGAATGTAACCGCTGCACCATTTAAGGTGGAACGGGAAAATTCAGAATAAGAAACCTTGTGAGCCCATATGTAACATTACTTTTCTGTCTTAAGTGTGCAACATGTAAAACTTTTTGAAAAAAAAAATATTTTATGCAGTGAAGTTGACTGCTCTGAATCCCCAAGGTAATGGTGATGTTAATGATGCACTGCATTCACTTAAGACTTAAAGGTAAATGGTTAGGGTAAGCGAAATAATGGCAAAATTAAATGTTTAAACAATTTTCTACTCTTTTTTTTTCTACTCTTTTTTGGAGTAAAGGCGGTGCGTAAATCGAGTAGCCACTCATAATGCCCCCAAATCAAAATGAGCTCTGATGAGCATTTCTGTCCATTATCACATCAATCTAACACTTAAAAATCTGTCAGACAGTCTCAGGGAAAAAAAACAAAAAAACAAAAAACATGCATTCAATTAAGAAAAAAACATGAGCACGATTAAAAGAAAAGGAGGGAATGAATTAAGAAATTGTGATCACAAATAAAAAAAACATACCCACGAAGTAATGAAAACATGCACATGATTAAAAGAAAATGAGAGAACAAATTGTTAATTGTAGGAATGAATTAAGAAATCGTGACCATGAATAAAAGAAAACGTGCGTACGAACTGCAAAACTATTTTTTTTTTTTTTACCTCTGTCTCCTCCGGGGCTCCATACCTTTGAGCAATAGGGAGGAAGCTTTTCTGTAGATGAGCTGGAAATTAAACTGAATATTAAAATTCACTCTCACTTCCCGTTTCTTGTGAAAACATGGTTTCATGGATGCCTTCTTGTGAAGTTATGAAAGGAGCAGATAGGATTTTCTTACTGTGGGTATTTGCTCCATTCTGGGAATATTAAAATATGGTTGTATCCCTTTGCAGGTATTGTGCTGAATTCCCTCAGGATCGCACACACAACATCTTTTACCTGAAAGTGAAGATAATCCGCTTTTACTTTACTTATATCAACTAGAAGAATGTGCAGTTTTTTTTTACGAGCCATTGCTTTTGTTGCCAGATTTCTATCAAGATTTTTCAGTTATAAGAGAGCAAAGTCTATAGAACTCAAACCAGATTGGTGAGAAATGAGACACAATTAGTACAAGAGATTCTTCTGTATATTTATTCTGTATATGTATATTTCGATGTCAAGGAATAGCAACTTGCAAGTTTTATTGCATGTGAAGTGAATGCAGACTACAGCGTTGCAGAATAAACAAGCAGCGGTGTACGTAGGCTACATTATCCTCTTTTAATTGGTGATTAAAATGCACAACATTTTTTATTGCTATCCGGCCTTCCGCCCAATGACAGCTGGGATAGGCTCCAGCACCCCACCGCAACCCAGAAGGTTAAGCGGTTTAGATGATGTATGTATGTATGTATGTATGTATTGCTATCCGATTTATATTCGTCTTTTTCTTCTTCTTCTTCTTCTTCTTCATCTTCTTCTTTTCTTATTTTTCTTTTGGATTTTTGTTCGCTAACTCAAGATATCGGCACTGTTCCAACTCCAGAATGGTCTGCTTGTATACAGCTTTTTGATCAGACTTACAGTTTTCATACAATCTTTGTTAAATTCCAAATTTTATCCTATAGAAATTAATGGAATTAAAAATTGTATGGCCATCTAATGTACTTCTGCTTGACCGAAATACTCTTTCCTTTCTAGTGTTTCCTATATACTATCTCAGGGCAGGCCCCCGAGCATGAACTCAATGCTGTTCTGATCCGCACTCATCTTTGCTCGAAAGCCACCACACTGCATGTATTCACTCAGGGCAGCTCACCAAGCTCTAACACACCGCCATACTGACCCGCACTCCTCTATGTGTCATTTTCTCATCCTTTTCTCATGACTCCCATTCATTTTCGCCCACAAACAAGCCATATATTTTCCTTTGGGTGATAGCCTCCAAACTGCAAGTGTTCATTTATGGCAGGTCCCCAAGCTCTATTTCACAGCCATACTGACTCACACTGCTCTAAGTGTCGATTTTTCATCCCTCATTCCTGGCATAGACTCTTATTAATTCTAAACCATACCTACAGACCACTCGGCAACCCCCTAACAACCACTCAGGACCCACCCCTCATGCCATAGAAACCACTTAGCAACATGCTTCCGCTGCGCAATCACTCTGCATTTTCTTCAGTATTGTATCGTAATGTGGGCTACACTATTTTTTTTATATTATTTACAAGTCACCATTTAGAAGAGTTTAGAAGAACACCTGGGCTGTGTACATTGTGTAAAACAGTGATTTACTTTATTGTTGACTGAAATAAAGGTGATTTGCATGTTCTTCTAGTCAATGTAAGTAAAGTAAAAGCGGGTTACCTTCGTTTTCGGGTAAAAGACATTGCGTGCGTGATCCAGAGAGGGGGAGCTTTTCCTGTCAGGGGTGCCAAATTGGCCGTGGCCGTGCGGGAAGCAAGGCCATGTGGAGCGACTAGCATGGAGCCCACGGGAGAACACCGGACATGAAGTGAGAGAGACTTAAAACATGCAAATAGTTGTTGTTGTGGCTTAAACCCTATATATATATGCTTATCTGACTACTTGTTTTTAATTAAAGAGCATTTCTTCAAAGGCCCAATGGTTACTGCGTTTCCTTCTTTCATTCCATTTCTTGGAAAATAAAGCTTCATAAATACCTTCCCTGGGAAGCACTCCCTCTCCTTCTCTTATGTTCCATCACACCTTTCTATGTATTTACAAGGAAGGATCAGTGCAGGTACAGAAATGATTAGTGTTGAGTATGACATTCCAATAGAGGACAAATTGAAACTCCAATGCAAAACTAAAATTTTAGCCACTAAATATGTCTCGGCCAATAAACTATATCTAGAGTAAGGAGAAAATTGTGTAAATTTGATTTGTCTGGTGAACCTTTCTTTTTAGGGCAGTGAAAAACATCAAATCAAACCAAATCCATATTTAGTCATTGAAACAGCAGCTTGGAGGTCCTAACAGAAATCCATATACTAGGTACTGTAATGAACAGGGAGCTTGATGGTGTCTCTACATGTATACGCAGTTGGCATTGGGACGCTTCTTGAAACAGGTTTGAATTAATACAAATAAGCTATGAAGTCATCTGTTGATCACAAACGAACTTCATAAAACTCAGAGAAATTAGACAGCAATATAGTTTAGTTAGCTATACAAATTAATAGTTTTGTAGCGACTCTTACCAATCAGTTCAAACAATCTTCCTCTCTCCCAACACTGCCTGCTCAAGTTCAGCTTGGTGAGTGAGCTTAGGTAATTTAAGTCGTCGTCGCGCCGTACATTCAA